TGGTCCAACAGAGACTACCGCCTACGCTCTGACAAAGCACTTGCGAAAGGGAGATAACAGCGCAAACTTGGGTCGAGCCATACAAAACGTCAAAATGCAAGTGGATACAAATGGGGAGTGCTTGGTGAGAGGAGCTGGACTAATGCGCGGGTATTTAAACAAGGAGAAAGGTACTGTATTCTGCGCTTCAGGACAAAACAACTGGTATCCCACCGGCGATCACGTTCTTTTGCTCAAGAATGAGGATGTGGTATTTGTAGGTCGCAAAGACAACCAAGTTAAAATTTCGGGACATCGCGTTGAGCTGGGCGAGATTGAGGCGGTTATTTACCGTATACCTCAAGTCAAGCAGTGCAAAGTTCTTTGGCAAGAAGAAGAGCAGACACTATTAGCGTTTTGCTTGGCCAACAATGGCGAAGTAGTGATAGCGGAAGAAGTGCTCAAACACTGCTTTACACAGCTTCCCAAGTACATGGTCCCTAATCACGTGATAGTGCTGGACGAGTTTCCGCTTACCAAAAATAGTAAGACTGACATGGAACAGCTTACGCAAAGGTGGAAGCAAAGGAGGCGAAAGTCAGCCATAGTCGAAGGAGCAGAAACTATATTAGGACATGCAGTAGACCCGAATCTGGGTTTATTTGGAAATGGAGCAACAACATATCAAGCGATTCTCACTGCAAAGCTTTTGGAGAAAAATGGAAAGTTTGTGAATGCAGCTGAGTTACTTCAGTATCCCTTGGCTAACCAAGGTGACCATTTCAAAGTGTTCAAGAACGATGAAAATCTGAAGGAAAAACATACGGCCAGCAAACGTCTGAGAAATATCTGGGCAAAAGTTCTGAAACACGACAATTTTGATCAAAACGACAACTTTTTCTTGGTTGGAGGCCACTCGCTCCTCCTGCTCAAATTACGCTACGAGTTAAATCAAGAATTCAATACCGCACTCGGCATTCAGGATCTCTTAAACGCTTTGGTATTCTGCCAGATGGTGGAAATGTTGTGCACGAAGAAGTCCAATGTCAAAATTGTCGATCTCATCTGTTCTTCTCCTAATCCACGAAAAACCCTTGTGTTCGTCCACCCACTTTATGGTGGCAGCATTCCTTATGCAACTCTGATTCAACATATTCGACAACGAGAACATTACAGTGTTCTTACAGTTCAGCATCCAAACACATTTGGGTTTGAGAGCGATGATCCCAAATTTTTCGAGAGCGTTCAGTCACTTGCGAGAAGCTACGCATCAGAGGTAAGTGATCTTCAAACGGCTGTAATTTAAAAGTAATTCTCATTAAAGAACTTTTTAACTTAAATATTTACTTTGCAAAAAATGGAAAGAGTGTGGCGGTCTCGCTTTGCGCCATACCATTCGAAAAGCCTTCTAGCATTACAGTATGTGTTAC